TGCTTTCTCTCTTTCTCTCTCTCTGTCTCTCTCTAGTCAAAAAAAAATTTTTTTTGCTATAGGGCACGTGCACTCACCAGACAGACAGTGAGAGACAGAGAGACAGAAAGCGAGAAATCGCCCCCCCAGGGGGGATGGCCACGCCGCAATCCCTTCTCCTCCATTCTCTTCTCGGGATTTTGGGCACACATGCACACGCACCTGGCATGAGTTTAAGCCACCAGATCCGGGACGCGAACCGCGATTAACTACATGGGAGTCCAGCGACATAGCCATTATGCTAACTGCTGGTCCCCCCCCAAATTTTTTTTGAGAGTTTTTGCTATAGGGCGCGTGTACTCACCAGAAAGACAGAGAGAGACAGAAAGTGAGAAATCACCCCCCAGGGGGGATGACCACACTGCAGTCCCTTCTCCTCCATTCTCCTCTCAGGATCTTGGGCACGCACGCACACGCGCCCGGCGTGAGTTTAAGCCACCAGGTCCAGGACTTGAACTGCAGTTGGCTACATGGAAGTCCAGCAACATAGCCATTATGCCAACTGATGGTCCCACTCTAGCCGAATTTTAAAAAATAATAATAATACGCGCTGGTAGGTAATGCTGTCATGGAGCTAGGCTCACGGCTGACCGACTCGAGTCTTAGACCCGGCAGTTTGCTTTCTTACTTTCCTCTACTCTCTCTGGCTCTCTCTGACAAAATTAACAGTAATAATAATGATGAATAAAATAAAATAAAATAATTACTTTAAAAATAATAATAGGGGCACCAGTAGGTGGCATGGTGGTTAAAACACTGGACATGCTCACATGGCCAACCCTGGTTCGAGTCCTAAACCTGATGGCTTGCTTTCTCACTTTCTCTTTCTCTCTCTTTCTCACTTTCTGTCTCTCTCTGTCTTTCTCTAGTCAAATTAAAATAAGTGAAAGAATAACATTTTTTAAAAGAATAATAATAATAAATATTAGGCCGATAGGGAAGTCCTGGTGCAATTTTGCATAGAAAAATATGTCACGGCTTTCCTGATCCAATAGAACCATTATTTAACTTTATCATTATCATTTTAATTTAAAATATTACAAATAATTAAAAATTAATTCTTTTAAAATCGTTAATTAATTAATTAATTATTATTATTTAAACTTGACCAGAGAAAGAGAGAGAGAGGGAAAGTGAGAAAGCAAGCTGCCAGGACTGAGACGCGAGCTCCGGTCCGCCAAGTGGGAGCCCAGTGCTCCAACCACCTCACCACCTGACATCCTTAGTGTCTTCCTAATTTCGAGAGAACTGCGAACTTACAGGAGTTTGCAAAAACAGTGAGGAGCCCTGTGCACCCTCGTCTGCCCTCCCTCTGCTGTGCCATCGTGGTCAGCTGCAGCCCGGGGCCCACACTGGGACACTGGCATGGCCCAAGGCCTGCAGCTGAGTCCGGAGCTGTTCAGTTTTCACCATCTGCCTTAGTGTTGTTTGTCTGATTTTGTTTCTGGCTTGCTATGGAGCACATGTGCTCACCAGGCAGAGAGCAAGGGAAGATGAGAAAGCAACCCAGGGGGAGGGCCACACTGCAATTCCTCCCCCAATCTCTTCTCGGGATTTCAGGCACACACACCCGGCGGGTGTGTTTTTCAAGCTAGTGGATCCAGGACTTGAACCAGGCCTTTGGCCACGTAGGGTCTAGACGACTTAACCTCCTCGCCACCTGCCGGCCCTGACTTGGGTTTTATAAGGTTTGCCCTGGCGTGTGTGGGTGAGGGAGGGTCAGTTAGAAGGGAAACGCGCGCGGATGCAGAGCAGTCAGGGGACGGCTGCACGAGTCCAAGCACGAGGCAAGGGAGCAGCAGCGGAGGCGCAGGGTGGCCAAGCCGGGGGGCCAACAGGACCCACTGGTGGGGTGAAGGCTGCATGTGAGGGGAACAGGGGTCAGGGACAACTCCCAATGCGGGGCCTGAGCACTCAGTCCTGGCCCGGCCCAGAGGCCCGTACCTTCCACGATGAGGTCGGCCTCACACTCGCCACCATTGGTCATGACCTTATAGCGACCCCCGTCCTCCTGGGTCACGTCAGAGTAGATGAGAATGTGGCGCTTCCCGTCCTTCTTGAAGCGGTAGCGGGCCTTGTAGGAGTCCTCCCGCGTCAGCTCCACCCCGTCTTTCAGCCTGGGGGAGGGATGAGGGGAAGAGAGGCTGAGGGGAGGTCACGGGAGGGAGCGGAGGTGAAGGGTGAAGGGTGGCAGAAGCATCCTGAGTGGGGGCAGGACACAGGCGGGTCAAGGGCAAAGGGCAGGGGAGGTCACAGGCCATGGGGAGAGGCTGAGTCAGAGGACCCAAACAGAGGTCATGGGAGAGGTCAGAAGCCCTAGGGTCTCAGAGATGCCACTTCTGTCAATGCTGTGTCCCCTGCCCCTGCCCGAGACACCCCCTCTTCCCACTCCACTGTACCTCCTCATTCCGATCTCAGCTCAGTTCACACCTCCCCCAAGAAGGCTTCCCTGACCTCGCAAGTCCCTTTCTTCCATTGGAAAGTTGTCACCCCACTGTTACTGCTTCGTCCAAACACTTGTCAAAGAGAACTGTTTTTTCAGAGAGACTTTTGCTATAGGGTGTATGTACTCGTCAGAGAGAGACAGAAAGTGAGACATCACCCCCCGGGGGGATGGACATGCCACAGTCCTTTCTTCTCCAGTCTCCTCTCGGGATCTTGGACACACGTGCACATGTGCCCAGCGTGAGTTTTAAGTCGCTGGGGCTGAGACTCGAACCATGGTCGACTATGTGGGAGTCCAGTGACATAGCCATTACGCCACGTGTATTTGTGTAACGACTTGACTAACGCCTGTGTCTCCTACCCCACCCCACCCCCAGTTTTCCAGGTTACAAACAGCACGAAGGCAGGTACCAGGTACCGGGCTGACATTTTGTTTTCCCTGAGAGCTCCGATATGGGAAGAGTGACACCACGGAAGAGGTGCTCAAGAAGTATTTGCCGGACGGGCCAATAGATGTGTGGACAGATGGGTGGGGAGACGGGTGGGAGGAAGGAAAGGTGGGTAAGTGGCGGGTGGACAGACAGACGGACGGCTGGATGAATCAATGGGACCGTGCATGAATGGAGGAGAAGTGAATGCCCGTGTGGATGGACCGAAGGACGGACGGTTGATTGGATGGATGAGTAAATCTTTAGTGAACAGCAAGGACCAGGAGAAAGACGCTGAGGATTCGATGGGTAGAAGTCAGTTCTGAAAAGAGGTCATAGTGAAGGTCAAGGTTTATAGGGAAAGTCTGGGGCCAGCAGGTGGCGTGGTGGTTAAAGGAGCTGGATTCCCACATGGCCAACGGTGGTTCTAGTCTTGGATCTGGTGGCTTGCATTCACACTTTCCCTTTCTCTCTCTGTCTCTCTCAGGTCAAATTAATAATAAATGGAATTAATTACATAAATAAATCATTCTTTACAAAGAAGATTTAGAGAGAAAAGATTTCTGAGTAAAGGTCAGAAATCTCCAGGAGTGATCAGGGTTGGGTCCTAAAAGACCAGGGCTGAGGCAAAGCTGTGGGCACCTGTGTGGGGACAAGGGGTCAAGGTCACTCACCACATGACCTGGGCGCCCTCTTCTGACACCTCCACCACCATTTCCACCCGGTCGCCCACAAACACCTGCTGGTCCTCGAGGGGCGTGACGATCAGGACTGGAGGCTCTGCGGGCCAGGCGGTGGGGCAGCTCAGTGGTCTCAGACGCCCCCCGGAGCTCCACTCCCTCCCCGCTCAGGCCGGAGTCCTGGCCTCACCCTTGACAAAGAGCTCGGTGAAACACTTCTCGTCTTTGACGGCAACCTCGTAGGCAGCGTCGTCCGCCAGCGTGCACTTGTTGATGGTGAGAATTCGCTTCTTACCGACGTTCTCAAACACGTACCTGGTGCAAAGGGTCACCTCACCCCACGTCGTGGGCATGGGCCTCGCCCTGGGGGAGATCTGCCCCATCCTCACAGCAAGCCCCTCCCTCTCAGAATTGAGCTGTGGGAGGGGTGAAGGGCCCAATCCTATTATTTCAATCTTTCTAAGTTTATTTACTGCTTCCATGAGCAAGAGAGAGAGGGGGGGCACCCCCGACAGGGTCCTCACACTGTGACCCACCCCAGCCTCAGCCAGCCTGAGTCACGGCGGCTTCACAATGTCCTCAGCATGGACAGGGACGCCCTGTGCACTGTCCAGACCCGTTCTGCTACTTACAGAAGGAATGCCAAGTTAAAAGCGGGATGGCCAAGTCCCCACCCACAGCCGCCTTGTCCTCCTTTCCAGCAGGGGCTCAGAGCCACCCGCCAAGAATCCCGCAGGTCCTAGCATCCTTTCCAGCCGGGACACCCACAGGGTCAGATTGAAAAATGTTTTGCACCGACATAAACTTGTACTTTAAAGGGGCCAGCAGGTGGCACGCTGGTTACGGTGCTGGGCTCCCACATGGCTGACCGTGGTTCAAGTCCCAGACCTGGTGCTTTGCTTTCTCAGTTTCTGTCTCTCCCTAGTGACCACATGCACCCTATAGCAAATTAAACAATCATAATTAATGAAATTAAATAAATACATTTTCAAAATAAATAAGAGCTGGGGGCCAGCAGGTGGCGTGGTGGTTAAGGTGCTGGACTCCCACATGGCTGACCATGGGTCAAGTCCCGAACTTGGCAGCTTACTTTCTCTCTCTCGTCACATTGAAGAAGAAGAATTCATTAATAACATTTTTTTTTTCAAAACAATAAATAAATAAGGGCTAGGAGGTAGCTTGGTGGTTGAAGTGCTAGACTTCCCACATGGCCAACCATGGTTCAAGTCTTGGACCTGGATCTCTCTCTCATGAGCATACGTGCCCTGCAGCAAATTAGAAAAATAATAGAATAAGTAAAATGAAATAATGAGGACATGAACAAGCTTGTAAACAAATGAATAAACTTGGGCTTGGAGTCTGTCTTCCCGAGAACGCCCTGATGCCCCCAGACGGGAGGAAGTGCCCTTCCCGGGAGGTCTGTGACAGGCCTCCCTCGGCCCTCTAGCCCGGCTCCCCGGTGGGGACAGCACGCACTTGCTGCTCGGTTTGATCTCCTGGCCGTTCTTGTACCACTTCAGGGGCAGGTCGGGGTCGCTGATCTCCACCACCAGCTTCACCTTGTTGCCTCTGTCCACTTGGTAGGCCGGGTCCAGCTTCGTGACAAAGGCTGGAGACAGAGGGGTGCAGTGGGGATGGGGGTGAGCGGCCCTCACTCTCCTGGTCCCCCCAGATGTGCCAAGTCTCCCTCCCTAAACATGAGCATCCCAAGGTCAAGGTGAGCAGAGGTCCCCGAGCCCAAGCGCAGTCACTCCGCAGACGGGGACCTCCGAGAGAGGGGCCTTAGGTCTAGAGGCCAACGCGCAGCGCAGGCGCCCCCCAGCCCGCGCTGACCTGCGCTCTTCTTGACCTCGACCTTGGCCTTCTTGAGCCGCTTCAGCATGCCCCGGAGGTCGGTGATGCCGTACTGGAAGGCGATCTTCTCGTACTCGCTCTTCTTCGCGCCTTTCAGGAGCTCCCAGATCTCGGGGGGGATGCCCAGGTCATCCTCATCTTTCTTCTTCTTCTTCTTCTCCTCCTCCACCACCTCTCTGAGGGCGGGGACAGCGGGGGCCACCAGAGAGTGAGGGGCTGAGGCGCTCCCTGGGCCGCCTCTCCCACCGCTGTGTGTCCTGCCCAAGTCACCTTCTCTGTCTGGGCCTTATTCCCCCCTGCCAGATCACCCCCCGGCCTACTCGTGGGCCTCCTGGTCTCCTGGTGACCCCGAGGCAGAATTCTGACACCCACATCAGATGCCGTCCCTTTATGGTTTAAAGTTCTCCTGTGGCTTAGGACCAGCAGTTAGCGTAATGGCTGTGTCGCTGGACTCCTACGTAGTCGACCACGGTTCACGTCCTAGACCCGGTGGCTTAAACTCACGCCAGGCGCGTGTGCGTGCGTGCCCAAGATCCCGAGAGGAGAATGGAG